TAGGACTCTTGTCCATATCCAAGTTGAGTTCCCTCTTCATTCTAGGACTCTTATTCCTTATCCGCTTATCTCGGATTCCGATATCTTCGGAGGCAACCTCGGCCTAGCCGAGATGACCCCGGCACAACGACCAAGACACGTGACACCTCGGCTGACACGTCGGTGTCACCTTGCCATGTGTTAATACTCAGAAAATATATCCCCACACAATGAATACAATGGTAGCACCTTGGAGATTCAAGGCCTCAACATACAACGTGCTGATATTAAAGAAATCTCTGTGGTGGGCGGCACTGGGAAATTTAAGTTTGCCAAGGGAATTGCGACATTTGAGACCATTTGCACGCACAAGTCGATTTTCTACTCGCTCATACGGTGCAATTTTACTGTGCTACACTATTGAGGACGGGTTTTCAACTATGCAGGAAATGGAATTGAATAAAATGCAAGTGATGCAAGTGCAACTGGTTTTTTTTTTTTTTTAATGTCTCGTCAAATCTTAATAATCAATTATCAAAACCATGATTTAAGTCATTTATTCTTTATTTTTGTATGTCCTTAATAGTCAAAAGTCCCCTTTTATTGTTTGCGTCAGATATGTGAATTATATATAGTAAAATATTTTTATATCACGTGATTGCGAATTTGCCATTTCCTACATAATTTTAAACAAAAGTTAAGTTTGAAAATTGAAAAAAAACTTAAAATATGAAGAGTCAAAATGAAATATATATATATATATATATTTTGAGTCGAAGTGAGAAAATAACCAAATATAAAAATAACAAAAAAAAAAAAAAAAAGAAGAAGAAGAAGAAGAAGAAGAAGAAGAAGAAGAAGAAGAAAAGAAAAAACACTCTAACAAACTCACTTAATTGTAACAAATCTCTACACAAATTTATGCTTTGGAAATTTGACGTTTGCCTACACATTAATGATTCGAAATGAAAGATTCATAGCCATTTGGAGGAGGATCCCCTTCGGTCATTGTTTTGGCTCGTGGGGCTCTAGCACGAGCTTTATTTTTTGATAATTTAAATTATTCATTTTGTTGGGTATTTTGTGTATTTTATCTTAAAAAAAATTAGATTGATCTGATAACTATAACTAGTTCAATTTCTTGCAATTTTTACAAAAAAAAAAAAGCATCGGCGAGCCGTTAAAAAACTAGATGACAAAAAAAAAAACCATACATTTTTTTTTTTATGATAAATATAATAAATTGAACTAATTACAATTATTAGATTAACTAGATTTTTTTTATAAATAAAATACCCAATAAAATAAATGATTTAAATTATCAAAACAACACCTGTAATAGACCTCACTAGCCAAAACAGTCTCGTCCAATCTAAAACCGTGACCGGTGGGGATCTCCTCCTTTAAGATCAAGTGATCAACAGTATCTGAGAAAATAAATAAATAAATAAAAAAAGCTAGTGACCAACTAAACATGTAAATTATTAAGGCTCTTTTTGTATCATGATTTACATCAATTGGAATGAAAATAACGTATGAGTCGATTCTCGATAGCGGTTAAGAATTTATTCACATTTGATATGATCAATCCAATTGCTATAAAGCTTTTTTTTTTTGTGTGATTGATTATTTTTAAAAATAATAATGTTAAGAACACAAAAGATTCACAAAAGACGAATCCTACATGTGTTGAGTCTTGTATCATATGGACACCACTCCTTATAAGACATTCATATTTTATACTCTGTGCACTCAAAAAAATTCATAACGATGACACATACTCATCATTTTTATATCGTTACATTGCAATTGATACCATACTGACACATTCTTTTATATATAGAGAGACTATGATCATAGCCTACAATAATTTATGGCAAATTCAATGAGTAATTATTAGATGGTATTGAAATATTATTCCTCACCATTTATCACTTTGACAAGTTACTTCTAAAAAATCTAATAAAAAGTATTAATTTTCATTATTTTAATTAATAAACGTCAAATTGAAGTATCTCATGGCATTGCCCAACAGTAAAAAAATAATTTCTCAAATTCAATAGCAATGGTTCAACTTCAATCACTCTAAAGTGATAATGCAGATCTGCACATACATTCTGGCATGGAAAATCAAATTAATCAGTGAAGTCTCTCTCACTCCACAAATACATACCATTGCACCAATGGTTCAATAGTAACAACTACCAACTCAACTCCAAGGAGTTGGGTTAGTGGGTGCAATTTGAGTTTGAGAATGTACTCCTTTCAGATCTCAGATTCAATTCCCATCAAGTATTATCAATTTCTTAGGGTCACGTTCGTGAGTTTTGTCCGAAATTTGTCCAATCCACGTAGAAGGGGCTTTATGCCGGACACCCAATTATAAAAAAAATTAAAAAAAAAAAAAAAAAACAACAACATGTAACTACCAACTCCTTCATTCTTTGCTTTTAGCCATTAGTCACTCCCAATGGCACCAAAGTCACCCACGAAATTACTATCCTTACTCTTCCTTCTATCAATTTTAGCATTTGCATATTGAGAAGCCTATGATTACCACCAACTCAAACAAACCAACATGACTCTACTTCCATGGCTTCTCTGGAGACCCCAATGCCGCGGCTGTTATTCTCACCGGCATCCTTGGGAGGGTGTGGTCCTACACCGGATTCAGAACCATGTTCGTCACTGATGATCCCATCACACAAGGCCCTCACAAGAACTCACCTCAAATCGCACGACTTACTTGACTTCCTCGCTCGATGGGACGAATATACGCACATCCTGTTTTCCATTGTGTTCACTAACAAGGACTACAATGGTAACACGTTGGAGAGATTCAAGGCCGAATTGTTCAATTTGCCAGTGTCAGAAAAACCTTCGTTTGAGACGATTCACTAGGACACATCAATTTTCTACTCGCTCATACGGTGCAATCGTAACAGAACTGTTTAGTTAATGGGATTAGGACTTGTACGTAACAGAACTATCTTTTTACCTAATTAGTATGAATAATTAGCTGGAATTAAAATTTGTTTTACATTCAAATTGCAGCTACTGAAATCAATTATGTCTTTAATCAAGGTTTGGAACTTCTGCTCACATGGATTAATCATATATGATGAAATGAATCATTTTCAAGAGACAATGATTGATTGAAGGTAGACAGTATTTCGTATCTTACACTTCACACCTTCTTGGATTTAGTTTCTGCTAGCAATTTTTTTATCAGCATTTATGTTTGGAATCAATTTTTAAATTTCTAGGTATATTCTAAAATAACTTGTTATTTATTTATTTATTTTCTTTCAAAAGCCACAACAGAGACTTTTTTTTGGGTGTCGTGTCACAAACACATCTCAAAGCTTCCCAGGTTTTGATTAATGGCAATTGGCCAACAATCACAATATTTATTTATTAACACAATTATCAACTATGTCCCATGGCAAGAGATCTTTTGTCTCTCTATTTTAAAATGGCAGTGGCTTTGGTCCAGTTTAAAATCGGACTGGATCGTGCTGTTGGGCCCGTGGGGGCCCACTATGGGTCCCGTTTTGATAATCCGAACTGTTCAATGTGTAGAACTCGTCGAGTACTATATGCTTGTAAAAAATCACGTTGATCGGATATCGATAGCTATGTGAACAAAATAGTTTTTTATCAACCGTTAATTGTTTCACCGTCCATTTTTTTTATTTATATAAAATTGATTTGATCACATAGCTATTGATATCCGATCAACGTGATTTTTTGTTAGCATGTAGTACTCGATGAGTTCTACACATTAAACGGTTCGGATTATCAAAACGGGCCCAAAAAATGGATCCCATGGGCCGAACTAGACGGGTCCAGTCTTGATTTCAACTTGAGACAAGCTGGCTTTTAAAATACCCGTAATTATTAAATTATGTTTCGAGTTTTTTTGTATCTTGAAATTCTCATAACGTGATCATGTGAATGTTCTAAAACAACAAAACAAATAGATTTAAGGACAGATGATCCTTAGTTATAATGCAAAAAATTTGAACCTATTTGGGTTTCATACAAAGTTGCCAAAATAAACCCTGACTGGGGTCCTTGATATTTTTCCAATTTGGTAACATCCTGTAGCTAGGTTATACGCGTGTGTGTGAGAGAGAGAGAGAGAGAGAGAGAGGGGAGAGAGGCAGAGGAGGCAGGGACAATATTTTGGTGGGTAGTACCTACATTTTTAGGGCACACCTCAGTTTGCAACATTTGCCACAATTGGCATTACTGATAGGCTCTAAATTAAAAATAGTGATGGAATTAGGATAGCCCACCAGGAACAGGTTGATCAATTCTCAAACACCAAACTTCAAATTTTCTCCTTTAATTCCATTTATATGTACATAGAAAAATATGACTACTTGCACATGTGGAAAATGATTATGACATTTCCATTACTTTTCTATTTTTTCTTTCTTTATTTTTTTTTCCTCTTCAAGTTTAGACCATAATCTAGTCCAACACTTATAATAAATGGTATCATTATTCAATAATAAATATATGTGTAATATATATACAGTAATTACAATGTTTACTTAGAAATTGAAATAAGTAAATACGTTATAGAGTGAGATTTACTGTCTAATGTATAATTTTATTATTAATTGATGATAATATGTGTCGGTGATTATTGAACTATTTTTCTGCATGATCAATAAATAAGAGTGTTATGCCTGCTAACAAACTTTGGACACATCACTCCAACACTCTGGAGGTTCAAGTCTCCATCCACCCTTATTTTGCAATATTGTAATATTCTTATAAAAACAGAATATTCTACATGGACAGTATATTATATATACACACATCACTCCAACACTTTGGAGGTTCAAGTCTCCACCCTTTTTTTTTTTTTTTAATTTAATTAAGTTCAAAAAATTGATTATCCTAAAACTAAGAAAAATATACTTCTAGATGCTCTTTATAAATGATCGGTTTTTAAATTGTACCAAACGGTACCTTAAGATAAATAACTGCAGCAAATTATAGACTCGGAGGAGAATTTGAGCAATGAATATCAGATGGAAAATTAGAGACAACTGACTATATGAACTTTTTTCTATGAGAACTAAAAGAATTGACATTAGACAGGTAAAAAGAATTGAGACTGCTATTGACACCCCTATGCTCTGTACATGTACAAGCTATCAAAATATTACTAATGCTATTTCTACAACTAACATTCCTATCTATGAAATCCTTCTAATTCCTCAATGCTCATTGTTATTGCTTCGAATTGTGATCCAATTCTCATCCCATCTCCAGTTTGCCACCCCAGAACACAACAACAACCCTCCGATCCTCTTCGCTGGAGAATCCGAATCCAAAGTCTCTGACTCTTCTACTGTGTTCCAAACACCATGATCAAGTATACTTGTTGGAGAATCGGAATTGAATCCCACAAATTGCTTGGTATGAGAATTGGATTCTCCCAGAAAAGTGTGGTTGAGAAGTTGTTTAGCCGTCCACCGCTCTTTCGGATCTCTCTTCAAGCACTTGCCCAAGAAATCCTTTGCTTGGCTGGAAAGAAAATCTGGGAATTCCGGTATTTCCCCGGAAAATCCAATTCTGTACAAAACCGATACTGGGTCAGCGACACGTGTCCACGGCGAGCGTCCACCGGTGGCCATTTCAATCACGGTACATCCAAGTGCCCATATATCACCAGACAACCCCTGTTCTTCCCCACGCGCCACCTCCGGAGCCATAAACATCGGCGTGCCGCCAATCGGTGCCGCCTTGTCCTCCCTCGGATTGAGCCACTTGGCACAACCAAAATCTGCCAGCTTGGCACCACTTTCCCCAACCAAAATGTTCTGACTCTTAACATCACAATGTGCTACCCCGATTGAATGAATGTACTCTAGGCCTTTCAAAATTTCGCGGGTATAATTTCCGATCACCGCCTCATCGAGCCGTCCTCCACCACCACCTCCGTGGCGACGAATTGCGTCGGAGAGCGTGCCGCCAGGGACATACTCCATATGCAAATTGTATACGAGCTTGTCTTTCTCTTTAGTGATATCGTACCCAATGTATTCAACTACATGAGGAGAGACGAGAGTGGATAGAATTTTTTGCTCTCTTTGTAAGAATTGGGATTGAGAGAGCTCGGTTGATTTGACAGCGAAGACGTTGCCGGAATGGGGAGATGTGGCGGCAGAGACGGTGGCGGAGGAGCCGCGGCCGATGGTGTGGCCTCTAGTCCAGTTCATTTTTTTTTGGAGGAAGAAAGAACGAGTTTGGGGGTTTGGGGTAGTTTCTGTTTGAGTTGGTTAGTTAATGTTGTTTATATAATGAAGTCATGAGTCGCACAAGGTGTCCTGTTTGTGAAGTAAAAAATTATTGGTTTGGTGGGGCTATATGGAGCTGTAGGCGGCCTGTCTCTCTCTCTAGCTGGCTATAACTTTCTCTCTCTAAAGTTGACGATTCCTTTAACGTATCAAAAGCTTGGTGGGGTTGACAAGGCACCTGAACACGTGGAGGCATTTGGTTCAGAGGTGTGAAATAAGGAAAACTCAGTTTTACAGAATTTTTACATAATAAAACACGTGTGCAAGACAGAAGTCAGGAAATTTATTTTTTTTGTCTCATATTTGTGTCTTATTTTATGTATTTATAGTATAATTATTTTTACAAGTTATAGGTTAAGGATTCTGTATTCTATGTATTATGTCTATCGTTGTAATGTTATATTTGATTGGGAGATTTAGAAAGAAATTTAGAAATAAAAAATTAAAAAATGAGTGAAATTAAGTGAAATATAAGTATATTTTATTCACATTTCATCAACATTTTCTCTTTTTCTTTCCAAATCCTCCAACCAAACACAGTATAATGTATTTCTAATTATAAATATGATGATAATTATTTGACAAAAAAATTCTTGATGTATACAATTTCTTTTTTCAAAAGAATTGAAATTGAAAATATACCAACTTTTTAAGGGGATTTTAAACAAAAAATGATTTTAAAAAAATGATTTTTAAAAATTTTCAGAACCATCTGATTGAAATGAATCTAAAAAGTAAAAGCATTTGACATAATTTGGATGAAAATTCAGTAATATGAAAATAAGTTAAATTAAATAAGCTAAAACAGTGAACTCCCTTACTAAGAAGGGGAAAAAAAAAAAGTAAGAAAGTATATTAGAACAGGGTGACAGATTTTACGAACAAAAGATTTTATGCAATTTTTATAAAATTGGGTTTGTTATTAGGTGGACATGTGGTAAGGAGGTTGGGGATGGTTAGATTGGGATAAATAATCCAAAATTCCAAGCATGGATGCTCTGTTCTGTATGAGAGTGTAATTTGACTTTGACAGCTAAATTTGGTGGTGAGGTGGGTTGAAGTTGAACCACCAATGTTAGTTCACTTTTTTGAGTGAAAAATTCCACAATTTGGCAGATGGTTGAGTTTGAGTTGATGTGTATACACTGTATACTATTTTATGTGTTTATACATTACACATACCTTGTATCTTGTCAAAATTGAGGTCTTTGGGTTGAAACAAAGTACATAGTCTTAGGAGGCAAATGTAGGAATTTCGTGACTAGTCAAAATAGATAGAAAGGTTTCATGGTCATCACTTATCCAACCCAATACATTGCATTAAGAGATGCATGCATTTCGTAGATCAACTTCTTTTTTCTTGTTTTTTTCTTGACCTAAATTTAATTGAGTTAGGTTTTTTCCAAGTTCAAATCTAAATTTACTGTCTAGATTCTAGGCTTACCATGGATCCCATTTCGATGATCCAAACTGTTACTATCTATGAAAAATGATACAAATAATTTTTATTTATTTTTTATATAAAATATATACAGAATGATGTGACATTATTTAGTGGCGGAGCCACTAAGAGTCTGGGGGGTCACGTCCCCCCTTTCTCTTTGTGAAATTTGAATTCAAAATCCACAAATATATATATATATATATATATATAACATAAACCTTACATTTTTTAAAATATATATATACATATATATAAATAAAATATTTTAAATAAAAAAATTTATAAAAATATTATTTAAAGTGAAATTTTAATGACATTTTTAAAATTATGAGAACAATAATAGTTATTTTGATTGAAAATAAAGAGATTATGATAGGTCATATTATTATTTATGAAAATTTCAATATAATAGTGATGTCTATCATTATTGACATACAAACATAATTAATTTCAATGAAGATATGAAATTTATTGGATTGTTTGTTACATTTGACATGTAGAGTTTATCCTCCATGTGTTTATTTCCATTCATAACTAAAATAACCACTATATAAATTATAATCAAGCAATACATCTTCAATTATAAAAAAAAAAAAAATTAAAAAAAGTATAATTGGTTTTAACCAATATCAGAATGAGTCATAACTAACTATTACTTAATATATAGTCATAACCAAAATAACAACCACAAGAAGTTATAATCAAATTATATCTAACACTATAATGTTTTATAACTAAAGACCACAAAGATCATAATTGTCACATATGATAGACATTTCTTTGTGGTATGTTTTATAAAATTTCTCTACTAAAATATATTATTTCTATCTCAATTTATCTTCTTTTTAAATTTTTCAATCCACCTATAAAATAGTTACTCCTCAATATTTGTATAAAATTTAATCTCAAATCTTTTAATTTAAAATTCACATTTATCCAAATGAACTCTTAATATTTAAGTTTAGTAATATCTCATTGTTATTTATTATAATAAAAAAAATTAATATTATCATTAATTTATATCCCCTCTTTATTAAATTCCTGACTACGTCACTAACAGAATATTTTTATAATTTTAAAGTACAATAGGCAAAAGTAGACTTAAAGTCTGTAACCATAAACTGTTTTTGCTACACTCAAGAAATTAAAATTTACCTCGCTCTCTATGATTTCCTCGTGTTGCCATCTAGAAACACGTTTAGCCTACGTTTGGCATGTTGCTCTCTGGGTTTTTTTTGGTTATTTTAGCTACAAAAGATGAAATAGATTATTTTAGTTATAAAAAATAAAACACCACATCCAACTCATAATCATTACACTCTTCTCTTACAAAAAAAAGTCAAAAAAACTAAAAACTCAAAAAGTCCTTCCCAAATTAAGTTTTTTAGCCCAGGCTAAAATAGCCAAAAAAGCTAAAAAGCCAACCCACTTTTCAAACGAAACCTAATAAATTTATGTTTACAAGTTGAACGAAGTCTAATTTTTCAGTCTTAAGATTGAAATCATTTCAAAATTGTAAATCAGTATGTTTGGTTTGATTTTTTTGGATTAAGTTTTTTGAAAATTGAATTTTTTATTTTTCGTGTTTTTTTGTTTTTAGTGAATGTTTTTAAAATTTTAAACATTTTTTAAAGTTTTTTAGATGTAGCTTACTTAGGTGTATTTAAAAAGTAAAAAAATTGTGAAAAAATATTTTAAAAAATTATTAAATACATAAAAATACAAAAAATGTATTGAATTCTCGTATTTTTTTTTAAATATTTTTGGTATTTAGTGAATTTTTAAAAGATTTTTTTTTCACAATTTTTTTACTTATTAGGTATATTTATATTAGGTATATCTAAAAATTAAAAAAATTGCTTAAAATATTAAAAACATTTATTAAAAATAAAAAAACACGAAAAATAAGAAAGTAAAATTTTCTGAAAACTGTTTTCAGAAAAAAGAAACCAAACAAGCTGATGGTTTTTTCTTAGTGGTTAATGGCTTCAAAATGAAGACTTGCTTATTGTTGAGTTCCAAAATCATGAAGTTGCTCAAAAGCTGTAATCATTTTTTGGAATCCAGTAGCTTCATTGAGCAATTTTGTGAACCTCCCAAACAAAGCAACCAAGAGTCATCTTTGTCCACCAATCAAAATAGCCACAATCTTAGCAATTTAGCCAACATCAAATGGCAAAAGATCATTTGTGATTAGGTTAATTATTATATTGACAATAATTTTAAAATATTAGTGGTGTGTTAGATACATATTCCTTCAAAGCCCATGCTAATTATCTTAAAACTAAAGCAACATAATAAGGGGTTTGTATGAAAATCAAAACTACATAAGGGGTTTTATAGAATATGAAAGATTCCAACGAGGTTGGTTATTAGTATACCTTACAAGCACAAAAGGAGCAAGTCTTCCTTTTCCGCATCCAATCAAATAATCATTGTCATGCAATTAATCAACAAATTAGAACAATACGAAGAAGAAAAAAAAAAGTAAAGAAGTACCAGTAAATTATTAAATTCATTCAACGAAAGTAAAAAAATAATATTTTTTTATTGATAAACAAAGAAATATTGATCCTACTAGTAGAGGATTTAAGTCAATTTTGAAAGCAGTGAGAGAAAGAGAGTGTTGATCGTAGAAGGAGAGAAATGAAAGGGAGACCAAAAAAGGAGTATATAATAACTAATATTTCCTCTGGAAAATGAGTTGGACCCCAGTGGGGTGCTGGGGTCATCTCTGATTGGCTCAAAAATTGTTTTTTTTTTTTTTTTTCTTTGGTTTTGGGCCAGTGACAGTGTGCCAACTGTCACTGGGGGTGCTGGGGGTCGCCTCCACTGGGGTCCCCAGCATTGCTCTATTTCCTCTGTAGCAAAATAATAGTTTTTTTTGAGAAATTTAAATTTTGTTTAATAGTATAATTATTGCACTTTAAAAATATTATTTTTTCAAAATTAACCTTTAATAGTACATTTTTTTGAAAATATCAATTGTTATAATTATATTTTTTGTGTTGCTAATAAATTTAAAATAAGAACAAAATAGAAAATTTATATTATTTTAATTCTTAATTTTTTAAAAGCGGGTATTATGATGGGACAATAAAAATAGAGGATTCGTTTGGGATGTGGGTTAGCTTTTGGAATAGCTTTTTTGGCTTTTTTGACTTTTATAAGAGAAAAAATAAAATAATTATAATTTGGATGTGACATTTTATTTTATTAGATTAAAAAACTTATTTTATTTTTTTGTGACTATTTTAGCCAAACAGCTCCCGTTTAGCTTATGCCAAACGAAAGCAGAATAATAGGTTAATATTTTGAGACAGAGAGTGTATTAATTTAAGTTTTCTTGATTGATTAAAAAATATTGACTCGTTTAGAAAATTCATTTTTTATCAAAAAGTTTATTACAGTCACTTTTAAAAAAATTATTAAAAGATTTTAGAATTAAAAATATATCAAATAAATTAAATTTTTTTTGACATCACCAGTAAGATTTTTTTTTTTTTTTTTTCAACAAAAAGTGTGAGATTTTTTTTATTAAAAAAAGTGTGAGAATTGTAACGCTAGA